CAATACTCATGGTCTTAAAATAAGTGAGGGGAATTTGCTACCTTTCTATAATCAAGACATGGATAGATATCCTAGTCTTCTCGGATAAGGACGAATAAACCGTAGGCCCCGTCTCCTGCAGGGTTAGGGGTAGGATAAGTTAATTTCCCACGCACGAGATTACTGTGTGGCGGATGTCCTCCCCTAGGTGGGATGGGTGGGTGTTGGTCCTGAAAAGCCCCTATGGGGGAGTGATCAATTAACCCATGTCTATGTACACAGCCATATAATAAAAGCACTTGTTACAAAATCTAGAATTACTGAATCCTTTTAATTACAAACCGAATAATCTTCCCTGAAATTTATAAATATATTTTTCTAGCGTCAACTACCGCCACTGCAAGACGGGGGTGAAGAACCTTCCACATGCAAACTGACTTCGAACACAAGGGAAAACTTGGGATACCTGTGCGAGTCCGTTTCCAAGTCTGCGAGTGAAACGCCTGGGAGAAATCTGTCTTTGGTCAAAGTTCATGCGAATAACATGGCGGAATCGGTAGCTGAGTTGGCGCGAGTGTTGGAGACATATAGAGGCAGGGAGAAACTAATGCGACTCCTTCAATATTCGAGCTATTTGGCGAGTGGAGGGCTGCAGAAATTTTCTTACGAGTCTATTGCGGGAAAATTTCGGATCTGGGCGGAAGCAATAAGTGAATGTCGGACTTTCCTTCGTTTGTTCGATGATGCTGCAATGTTGTCTTACGCACGCGATTATGGAACTGGAAAAGAGGTGGGACACAACCGTTAAACATGAAAATTTATAAGGAAATTTTGTTTTCAAGTTAAAAATATCTTCAACTAAACAACCTAGTACACCAACGAAGTACCCTAGTACGCGGAATTAATCTGAACCAATATCACAGCTTCTAGCGTTTTAAGTACAGCGTCTAGCCAACGGAAGGTTTGATCGGTAGGGTGGATTGTTACTCTTTATTTCATCCACGTGTTGAGATTTTAGGTGGAAATATTAATTTGATTTGTGTCTTCCATGTTCGAAGTGAAGAAGCGACGACAGCAATGAATTTAGAAACTTAAAGTGCACCTAAACCCAAAAATTTTTTTTCGCTTAACGAAATAAGCGTATTTTTTGGAGTATTTCTGTGCAAACATTTTTTTATTTGCTCAAATCCTCAATTGTCTGTGCCCAGTCAAAATACGGAAAATCGGCCGCCATCTTGCCCCACGGCCGAGTTTAAAGAGGAATGGCTCTAGCGGGTAATGTGACGTCAAATCGAGAACACGAAAGTCTGCATTTCACACATTTTCGCTTGTTTGGGAAGGTTGTAGTCGATTTTGTCCGAAAATATGCCGACTAAGTGTGTTGTAGGAGGATGTAGCAACGTGCGAAATTTGCAAGAGGGTATCACGCTTCATACATTCCTCATACAACACACCTGGTCGGCATATTTCGGACAATATCGACCACAACCTTCCCAAACAAGTGAAAATGTGTGAAAAGCAGACTTTCGTGTTCTCGATTTGACGTCACATTATCCGCTAGAGCCATTCCTCTTTAAACTCGGTCGTGGGGCAAGATGGCGGCCGATTTTCCGTATTTTGACTAGGCACAGAAAATTTAAGATTTAAGCAAATTAAAAAATTTTTGCACAGAAATACTCCAAAAAATAAGCTTATTTCGTTAAGCGAAAAAAAATTTTTGGGTTTAGGTGCACTTTAACTTTAATCATTTTTTTT